CATATCGCTGCCGTTCTCGAGCTCGAGAACACTCTGCTGCCTTCCCTGCGCAGCCTTCGCAATGCTCTCCAGAAGAAGGTCGAGAAGTTCGACAAGATCATCAAGATCGGTCGTACTCATCTGCAGGATGCCACCCCCCTGACTCTCGGCCAGGAGTTCTCTGGCTACGTCGCTCAGCTGGACCGCAACATCGAGCGCGTTGAGGCTTCCCTCCCCCACCTCCGCTACCTTGCCCAGGGTGGTACCGCCGTCGGAACTGGTCTGAACACCTTCAAGGGTTTCGCTGAGGGTATTGCTGAGGAGGTTACCAAGCTGACCGGCACCGAGTTCAAGACCGCCCCCAACAAGTTCGAGGTTCTTGCCGCCCACGACTCCATCGTCGAGGCCTCCGGCTCCCTTAACACCTTGGCTTGCTCCCTCTTCAAGATCGCCCAGGATATCCGTTACCTCGGATCTGGACCTCGCTGCGGTCTCGGCGAGCTGATTCTGCCCGAGAACGAGCCCGGTTCTTCTATTATGCCTGGCAAGGTCAACCCCACCCAGTGCGAGTCCCTTACCATGATCTGCTCCCAGGTCATGGGTAACCACGTTGCCGCTACCGTTGGTGGCATGAACGGCCAGTTCGAACTCAACGTCTTCAAGCCTCTGATGATCCGCAACCTGCTGCACAGCGTGCGCATTCTCTCCGATGGCATGAAGAGCTTCGAGAAGCACCTTGTTGAGGGCCTCGAGGCTAACGAGCCCAGAATCAACACTCTCCTCCACGAGAGGTATGTACACAATCCTTTGCAATCATTATATCTGAAGCGCTAACCTGTCTTAGTTTGATGCTTGTTACCTGCCTGAACCCCGTCATCGGTTACGACATGGCCTCCAAGGTCGCCAAGAACGCTCACAAGAAGGGCATCACCCTTAAGGAGAGTGCCATGGAGCTCAAGGCTCTGAGCGAGGAAGAGTTTGATAAGCATGTTCGCCCGGAGCTGATGCTGAGCCCCAAGGAGAAGAAATAGAGGCGTGAAAAGCTGCTTGGGTGGCCGGAGCTATGATTTGGGGTCTTGGTTATCTTAGAGCGCTGTAAGGTAGCGGTTCATTATATTTGTATTACTGAAAATCTATTGTACTATTTAGACCGATTGATTCCCCTCTCGTAAATTTACTGACAATTCGGACGCTTTACTGCGAGATTGAGTATTTCCGGAAGGCCTTGGGGCGCGCTTTGGGTGCCTTTGCATAGAACAATCAGAACCCTTGCTATTCTTGAAAAGTTGAATATCAACAAAAAGGTTCAGATAAATTCAGTGCTCTTGTTTTATTCTTAAAAGAAGAGGAAAAAATGTACTAAAACTGTCAGACATGTAGTCTTGGGCTGAACAAACTTCGGCGCCAGGAGTATTTATAGTAGCAGAATTGTCTCAGATGCTCCAAGCCTCAACCACGGACCGCCCTTTATTTATGCTCTTCCGCGCTGAGGAACTGACGACTTGTCGACAACATTACTCCCATTCGTTTCAATTCTCGAGTTATCGTCGCAATTGCCGTCTCTAAAACGTTTCATATACTTCCTTTGTCTCTCTTGCCCATTAACGCCATAGTACCTTATTCCCGAGTCCAAATCTAACCCCCCATAGTTCTCTAATCAACACCCCGCCCGAAGGTGGACAAAGCACAACAAACCCACCACCACCAGACCTTCTCCTGCTCGTCTATACTCAATTGCACCATCTTCGACATAATCAAAACCAAAATGACAAACACCACCATTACTCCGACGACGACCACAGCCCCGGTCACTAAGTCCGTCGAAACCCCCACCACAGACGAGAACACCCCCCTCTTCTCCCCCTCGCTCATCTCCCCCGATGTCCTTGCCGTCCTTCCCACAGACTACACCATCCGCCCGCTGTGTCGCTCCGATTACAAGAGAGGCTACCTCGACGTCCTCCGCGTGCTGACGACCGTCGGCGACATCACCGAGGAGCAGTGGAACAGTCGGTACGAGTGGATCCGCGCCCGGAGCGACGAGTACTACCTGCTCGTTGTGTGCGATGGGGAGGACCGCATCGTCGGCACGGGGAGTCTGATTGTTGAACGGAAGTTCATCCATTCGCTGGGGATGGTAGGGCATATTGAGGATATTGCTGTTGAGAAGGGGCAGCAGGGGAAGAAGTTGGGGTTGAGGATTATTCAGGCGTTGGATTATGTTGCTGAGAAGGTGGGGTGCTATAAGGTATGTTCTAACTTCTCTCAGTTCCCATGTTGCTGTAGGAATAGCGGGGGCTGGGGCTGACTGGACGGACAGACGATTCTCGATTGCTCCGAGGCGAACGAGGGTTTCTATATTAAGTGCGGGTTTAAGCGTGCTGGGCTAGAGATGGCGCACTACTACTGAGATTCAGCTGGACAGTTTTATTAGATCCATTGGTCGGGGTATTTCGGCGTTGATCTGTTTTATTTGAGGGTGGACTGGCATCGAGAATCTCACGGTTGCATGCTTCGTTGTTGTTTCGGCGTCAACGATGAGCGTCGCTCTCGAAAGGATTGATTGTGCTGTGCACCGACGATACTGCAGACCGATGCTCTGAACCGTACAGACTGCCGAGCACGAAGTCATGCTATCACCTCCGTGACGAACCGTTGAGCGACACTTCGGTCCTGAGCCCTACGTTTTTCTGTCATTCAGGTACATCATTTGTTAGAGTTGAAACCCCTGATAGAGCTTCATTCAAGAATGCTAGACGAACTACTAGTATAATACAGCCTCGTTGTGTAAAGCACACCTATTGATTCTACTTTTGTGAGATGCAACAAGTCTGGCACTACGACTAACCTCAGAACGACTTCCAAAAAAAGTAGGGCATCAATTTACGACCGTAGAAGTAACACAACAAGCATAATCATGAAAGCGGAAAGGAGCGAATCCAACGGAGTGAAAAGAGGTAGATTAATCGAGAAAGACCGCGACAAATCAATTCGACGGAATGCAGATATTCAATCCGCCACGAAACACAAGGCGCAAAGCCATTGCAGCCAGAAGCTGTGCACCATCATCCCTTGTTTGAGCATTCGATGGGGGTTGACGCTTGACAAGATAAACATGTTTGCAAGAATGAATAAGTTTTTTTGATTTCCCAAACAATGCTTTAACCCCATATGATGATTGTTGCAAGCCCATAATCTATTCATGAACCCAGTTTGCTTCCACTAGAGTCAGGTCGTCGTCCGTTGGTTGTTCCCGTAGAAGTACCATACTGAAGGTAGGCCAGAATGTCACTTGTCCAGTATAACCGCCGACTAGATGATGATGGTGATTTGTATGTTCGATGATCGTCGTCGGATCCCCCTTCCTCATCACCTAATTTCCTCCGCCGGAAAAGACGCGGTCAACTTAAGAAGTGGGGTTGGGGTTCATCTGTAACAAAGAATGCCCTGTCAGTGCCTGTTGCCTTTTCATGCCAAGGACCTCTTGCAAAATCTGCTGGCCGGAGGAGAATGGGGTTCTCCTGAGAACAATTCCCAACTCCCCGACAAAGCATATATGCATCCTTTCCACCGAGCTGGATATCAACGTACCTTCCGCTTGCCACCAGTCATGGTAACGTTGACGAAACGGCGGGTGTACTTGAGGCGCTTCAGAGCACGGCCCTTAGGCTCCTTCTTCTTCTCTTGCTTCTCGACCTGTACAGTAGAACATATCCCATCAGTACTCTGATTCGGCAAATATCTCGCTGGAAAACCATCGGTTCATCATATCGTTTTCGCATTTATCATTTTGGCCATTTCTGCATGCCGGGCCGCTGCAAATATCTTCTCAAAATCCCTCCTCTTCGGTGGCGACGATGAACCATTCCCAGGAGGAACGCGCAGATCAAAACTTCATCTAGGGAAGAACAAGAAGAGCTCACCTTAGGAGTCGCAGACTTGACCTTACCCGCACGGGCGAGAGATCCGTGAACCTTACCCATGGCTGCTGGTGATGTGTAGCTTGTCGGATCGAGATGGTAAGTTGACTGAGGTTGAACTCTTTCGGGGCTTCTCTGGAGCGGGTGGGATTCGATCGACTCTTGTGGGCAAAGCGCGCTAGGCTGTTCCGTAAGCGAGATGGCGACTTGGGATTAGTCACCCCCTTTGTCCTGCCTCAGGCAGCAACAGCTTCATACAGGTCGCTATATGGATTTCTGTTGGCACACAGCTAGCTCTGCCTTTGTAGTTTATAGCAATACATTATGCAATATTCATGGGCTGCGATGTCTATGTCAGCTTCATCCTTTCTATGCCTGTTGATGCTATACGCAGATACGGGTGAGAGTATTCAGCCAATAACATTGCCTAAAACGGAATGGTTTAGGTTTGAGCCCTACTCCATAATTAGCTAGCAGGTTCTCTGGATACCGTATTGTAATTACACTATCCGCTGCAGCAAGATAAGCAATCCGCACTACAGCATAGGGAAACAGACCTATGATGCAACTGGAGTGCTTTTCTTGAGCCGATCGTGGTGTCGAATCTAGTGAGACCTGGACAGTAAGGGATGAAGTACGATTTAAGAGCTCCAAATATGGTCACTCTCACATGTGGCTGTGAAATACCTAGTCCATCTACCTCTATACCACGTATCGCTGATAGGGCAATTTAGAAAGTCTGACGCAGAGTAAAGTATTCTGGATTTGTGGTAGATTGAAGGTTCATTTGAGTGTATGCAGAAGCAATGGGCTCTAGAATCTACAAGCAGGAGAGGAGGTCTGTCAGAAAAAAGAAACAAGGGCTTCATTATAACATCCATTTTTCCATTCCTGGTAGTTACCATGGCGCGAAAATGACGAAGCCTATCTGAACACCATGCGGGTTGTCTCATCCGCAAGAGCCCATCGCTCGCACGCCGATTTGTTGTTGTTAGGATTTTGCGAGGGAAACAAAATTCCAGCTCCGGAAACCTCCCAAATTCCAACCACAAGAATCTTCCTATCTACTCCCCAGCCCAAGCCGAACCGCCTTCAATCCGTTTAACGAGACTTGGCGGCGACCTTGGGAGCAGAACCCTTAGCACCCTGCTTGCTCTGGATGCGCTGAGCAGTTCCCTTGGCGGCGGTGGCGGCGTTCTTGGCCTTCTCAGCCTTCTTGCGGCTCTCGGAAGCGGCCTTCTTCTCCTTGGCCTCCTTGATAGCCTGCTGGCGGGCGGCGGCACGAGCCTCAGGGCGCATGCTGCGGCGCTCCTTGATCACATCAAGGGAGGCACCGACGATGGCACGCTGGTGCTTGACGACACGGCGAGTGCGCTTCTTGGCAACTTCCTGTTCATGGTGAAAAACACACCGTCAGCAATTGCTCTTCCACATCTTATATCGCGTCACCCGTGATTGTTCCAAGCCCCATTTGTCCACAAATTCAACGGCACTTCCATGCCTGTCCAACTTATAAAAGCTCCCTTGCCAACTCTCCTGCTTCGAACCAATCACGAGATCTTCGACAATAATTCAAAGGAATTCGGTAGTACTGACTTCAGAGATACCCTTCTTGTGCTGACGGCGGTAGAGGACAGTCCAGGCTATCCGGCGAGGGTTCTTGCGCTGGAGGAACAGGGACTCGGACTTTCCATTCTGGAAGCGGAAGATCTTGCTGTCGCCACGGACGTACAGCTTACCCTATAATTTGCAAATCCAACACTATGTTAACCCATATCCAGAGAAGAAGTTTTGTGGGACATTTCCATGAATCGGCGTTGCGCTCGTAGAGAATCGGGGCTGAAATTGCTGGATGATTGATGACTCCGGAAGGGACAAAACGCACCTTTCCAGGGTAGATCTTCTGACCGCTGAAAGAATCGTCGTAGGTACGCATCTTGAATGTTGGAGATGCGCAGCCGGTCGAGACGAGGTTTTGTCGGTTGGCGTTGGGTGGTAAAGTCGAATCGGTCGCTGCGGCGAGCTGTTCGTGAGACTGACACAATTGTGGTGCGGTGCGGAGCCTCGCTAAAGTGCGACACGTGACCTCGTCTGCCCTTGGGCGGCCGCCTTACAACTTCAAGTCTCCCATACCTCTACGGCGACTACGATAACATCAAAGAAGGGAATCATTGCAAGGGGATTGTTATCTGTTGGCTCTTTCTCTGTGACCGTAATGTAGTTCATGATCTTTTTTTGACTTTTTCTTTTTTTCCATTTCTTTTTGGTTTTTCCCATCGTCCCCAATTATGTTGCTCCCATGCCAATGATGTCTCAAAGGAGCTCATCTCAATCGATGCTCGAGTGGCATGATAGCTAGAGACCAACTTTCCCTTGCAATTGAATCTGCATTATCAGAGTGACTTCGCATCGAGTAGTCTCAATGACAGGATCAGTAATCATGCCAGTCGCACGCAGCCCACGGATCTTCCTTGCAGTCCTACGCAGAGAAGTGGCTTTTAGCATTCATTCACGTGCGATTTACAAGGAGAGAAAAGAAATATGACATTGCTTACCTTGCATTGGACATCGTGGCATAGCTCGACCGGACAGATACCCCAGCAGTCGGGGCAGACATACCGTCCGCAACCTCCGGGCGTGGTGCACAGGGAGTAAGTACTCGCCTCCAAGACGCTATTGCCCAGACGCTGGATCAGCTTTAAAATCTGGTTTGCGGCTTCAGCATGTTCGTGGTTGGAGTCGGCCTGGGCAGCGGTGCGGCGAGCAACGTCGAAGATGCAGCATGCTTTGCTGCAAACTGGGCAGTCTCCGAAGCACTTGATGCACTTTGTGTTCTTTGTGTCCCACTTTTTAGCATTCTGCGGAGCCTTTCCAGACTTGGTATCCTCGTCCGACTGTCCCTGGAATATGTTCTCCACGATGTGGCGGATTGCTTCGAGCTGTCACTGTGTTAGCTATCTGAAACTACTGTGGACCAGTTGACAGGATGGCCACAGCACTTACTCTTTTTTCGACAATGTTTCTTGGGTCCTGGTTCAAAGCTTCGCCTTAACTTGTCAAAAAAAAAAAAAAATTCACGCTAGTCCTCAGACACCTTGTACTCACCAGATTCGTCCTCATTGGGTTCGTCCTCGCCAGATCCGAGTTCGGTACTCTTGGCCTTGGGGGAAAGACCAGGGCTGGAGACGCTGTTTGCGTTGCTCTTCTCTCCGGGGGTTTCGATATCAAGGAACACATAGTCTGCTCATGTCTGAATCAGCAACCTGCTCATTGAAAGACTAAACCGAGAAATTCAATAACTCTTACCACCAGGAGATCTGAGACACTTGACGACCTTTGGCTGCGCGGTATTGATAGCAGCAGGCTTTCTCTCTCTCTTCAGGCCCTCAGAAATCTTGAGCTCCCCGAGGTCTCCTACAAGATGTGCTGCGGTATCTCCTCCAGCCTGATCTTTATCAGTCGCCGTAACCGAGGCAGAGCGGACAGAGCGAGTCTTTCCTCCACTGGTCGCGGAAGAGGACTGGGTTTGCCAGCTCTTTCTGTCCATGCTGCTGACTTTCTTGACAGATTCACCAGTCATCGTTCTGCTGAACTTCCTTCTGAAAGAACTTCCCTTTGGGGATGCTTTTGGCACTGTAGGTAGATCAGATGCAGGATGCGTAAAGCCGCAAGACGGGATTCTGTTCTCAGACTCGAAGGAGCGAGACCTTCTGAGTTTGAGCTGCTTCCCTGAATTCTTGAGATTGCTAAAAATGAATTTATCAGCGGGAGAAGATACAACACGGGATGTTGTCTGCAAATACCTGACACAAGTATCCAAAGCGCGAGCAACACGACTCTTGGGAACGATGAAACTGTCAGTGAGAGGGAAGTATTCGCTTTGTTTCTTTTGGTATTTTAGTCTCTCGGCGTTCATCATTTTTTCACGCTGCTTCTGAGCCTTGCGATCAGCAGCGTGAGGGTCCGGACTCATGGTCAATTGCTCAGTGTCAATATCGACGAAAGACAGTCCTTTAAGAGAGATACGCCTGAGTATCAAGCTGCCAATTCTTACCACACACTCTATGAATGGTATTCAGGAGATCACGACATCAAGGCCTTAATGAAGAAGTTTCTGAACACAGTAGACTACAAAGACTTGTGAAGCAATCTGAGGCTATACTATTTCATCACAGCATCTCGGATATAAGTTGTTTTCTATCCGGCCAACAGAGGGAAGTGAATGTACTATACTACCTACAGGGTAGTCAGCAGTGGCAGACACTCAGGACCTTTTATTCACAAGGCCTTCATCTGGCTCAGCTTTCAAAGTCCCTGACTATCAAACTACTTTTCATCATCTGGTGTTGGTTTCTCAGGCTTTCTGCACCTATGCCATATACATGATTTTGATGGTTATCCTGCCTCGTAGTGTAATCTCACTTCTGACAGTTCTAAGGTTATGCCACTCCATATCATTACGAATAACCAGGAGGCCCTGCCTTTCGCAGCTCACTGGCGACTCGCTGGGACAATTCGCTCAAGTACGTGTCGTATCCGATTCTCAGGACAGAGACAAAGAGTGGTAAATAGCCGAAACAGAAGCCACAAGCATTAGTTGGAACTCATACTCGCTAAGTGATCATTTTGGGGGCCGATAGTTCTATATAGGAAGGTCTAGGCAGCATGGTGTAGTTGTGCGATGACAGACATGCCAAAGTGTGAGTCAGCAGCTTGAAGCCGGAAATTCCACAAGTCATAGCCACAAAATCGAAAAGAAAAAAATAGAAACAACGAAACGGTGAGTACACCAAGGAGACCCATCCCATGTGAAAGGCATAGCGTATGTTATACGGCATGGTTGGAACCATAGGAGAGCCGCCAGGGCTTGGGCTTGCGTGATATTTTCTTCATGGTCACATAACAGCAGTCTCGCTCATATTCGTCATAGTAAAGTTGACTGAGGTGTCCCAGAATCTACGTCATTGCATGAGTTCTCGTCCATTCCTTTGCAGTTTGTATCGCAGCCTGCTCATCCTCCTTCCAACGCTGTGCAACATCATTGGCGAGCGGGTCATCGGGGTTAGGAGCTCCAAGCAAGGCCTGGATTGAGAGGAGAATCGTGCGAATCTGTAGAGCAGGGGACCAATTGTCTGATATATTATTAGCGGGTGTGCTATTCCCAAAGAAACAGAACGACGTACTCTTCAAAACATCCAAGCAAATGCGCCCAAGGCGGTCAATGTTGGGATGGTAGATCTTGGTCAGGAAACGGATCTTTGGCGGGGTCATAGGATAATCCTCCGGCAGAAAGAGCTCTAGACGGAAAATGCCTCCTGTTATACTATTAGAATCCCGCTATTTGCTCAGGATGTTCTCTAACGGCGTCAAACCTTCGTACGGCGACTGAGCAGGTCCGTGGATCGACACGTCAAAGTATCGAAGGTTGTCTTCATGAGGCACAGCATTGATGCCGGGGACCCTTTGGGAGAAAACGCGTCAGTCGATGATAACTCATTCTTTCCGGAGATAATTTGTAACTCACGGCTCTGCCATAAGGCGCTCGGTCTCCTTCACAATTCGCTTTGGAAGGGCCATGATGAACCACCAAAAAGGAAAAGCTTATCGCGATCCGAGTTTCCGCACTTTCTGATATCCAAGGTAAGGTTGACAGGTCTAGTGGACTTCAGTTTTATTTGTCTAGCAAGCTGGTAAAGAGAGAAATTTGGGATAAGACCCAGGAAATGTGCAAAGAGGCAGTGATGAAGTGACCAAAACACCAGGAATCAGACAAGGTACTTGCGTCGGAGTATCCTCCAGTAGAAGAAATTAGAAACCGACGTAACCGTCAGAGGGGCATTTACCTGCCGAGGCGTGACCGCCTTCTCTATTAGACGTCTCTCTGTTGATCTACCACGGTACTCGATAAATACAACCTGCGCAGTTCCTTGCTTAGTCATTTCTACATGACACTGCTAACTTAACTATCTCCACAACTACTGAATAATTGCGGAGATAAGGAGTTGGGCCCTGCACTCTGCATTATTCTGCACAGAGCTACAGGCTAAATACTGTCGTGCTGCAGGCCCCTCGCTTGCACTCACATAAATTCAAGGTACCTGAGATACCCTTTTTCTAAAGTGCAGACACATGCTCACAGCGAATTGGCCACAGCCCAGCAGCTGAGGAAGTCGCGAACACCAACCAGTTTCCGGACACTCTGGAGTCTGGAGTTGTTCAAACTCTCGAGCAAGTGGGCCTCAGATAATGCGCGCAATAAATGGTCTCATACCGGCATATCTCCTATAATCAGTTGATGGCCAATTGCCAAGTCCTTCCGAGATGAGAGCACCTCAGATCTCCCTACCGCTCATCCTGTCCTCGTGCGATCTTTTAATTTCTCCTTCTAGCTCACGTCCGGTGTGGACGCAAGACTGCACGATTTAGGAAGCGCTTTGGAACGACCAACCCCTCCGGGGTTGCAGCAATAATCGACATAATGGAGCCCAGGCCCTTGGCTTCGGCTTTCGAAAGTCCCACTTTTGGGGAAGACAGTTCGTTTCATGTGGAGCAGCCCGTCGGATCCATGTCCATATCTCCCTGTGGAAGAGACGTTGTGTTGGCTTCGAAGGAAGGCCTGCATGTCATTGACTTGGATTCCCCGTATTCTCCTCCTCGGTATCTTCCTCATCACACGCCATGGGAAGTCGCAGACGTTCAGTGGTCTCCGTTCGCTGCGCGGGACTATTGGGTGGTGAGCACTTCCAACCAGAAGGCCTTGGTATGGAATCTGGCGATGCAGACTGGGGAGAATTCTATCGAACATGTCCTGCATGCTCATACGCGAGCTATCACGGACATCAATTTCTCCGCTCACCATCCCGACCTTCTGGCAACGTGTGCGGTAGACAGTTTTGTTCATTGCTGGGATCTGCGAACTCCTTCGAAGCCTGCCATCTCATTCTCCGACTGGTTTGCTGGTGCAACGCAAGTCAAATGGAACAGACAGGACCCAAACGTTATCGCCAGTTCTCATGACAAGTTTCTTCGAATATGGGATACGAGAATGGGAGCCTACCCTATCAAATCCATTGAGGCTCATGATACTAAAATCTACGGGCTGGACTGGAACAGAGTCAGGCCAGGGGCTTTGGTAACATGTTCATTGGATAAAACAATCAAATTTTGGGACTACACGGTAGACGACGAACTACCCGAGAAGGTCATAACCACTCCATTCCCAGTATGGCGGGCACGCAATACCCCATTCGGATGGGGAGTCTTGGCAATGCCACAGAGGGGCAACAGCGACCTTCATCTATATAGTCGCAGGTCAGGCGACGGTACCAATCTCACAGAGAACCTTCCACTGGTGCACAGTTTTCCGGGACATAAAGGCCAAGTGAAGGAATTCCTTTGGAGAGCACGCGGAGGTGTGGCGGATGGAATCGATTACAGGGAGTTTCAGCTTGTGTCGTGGGGCACTGATAGGGAACTTCGTCTACACCGAGTAGATCCAGATATTCTCCAACGTGTTGGCTACGAGAGAGGGAAGTCTTTCGTTTCCACGTTGAACGTCACACGGCAAGGCGCTGTCTACAAAACTTTCCGCGACGCAAATGGCGACGACGTATATGGCGAACCCGATTCTGTTCTATCACCCAACCCTAAGCTTGCTGGTGGTACCGGTATTAATACCATATCTGTTCCTTACTCCCGTCCATGGACTCAAGGAGGCAACGCAGACTCTAGAGTTGGTATGCAAAGAAGGTCGAACTTCCGGGCTGATACAAACCCTATATCCTGGATGCGTGGTGTGAAGATCTCGGGATGGGATATTGAAACCCTGGGGGACGAGATAACACATGTTGGAGAGAAGTTCACCAAGGTTGCTTTTGAATCTGTGGACGTTAGGCAACGGAAAGCAACAATATCGCTGCATGGGCCATGGGGTGTGGAGGGGGATTCTCTGTTTCTCAAAGTGGACATCAAATTCCCAGTTGACTATCCCAAGGCTTCAATGCCGACTTTCAGTGTGCAGCGGACTGCCGCTGTTACTGACCAGCTTGCTGATAAGCTGATAAGTGAGCTGAGGACGATTGCGGAAACCTACTTGTCTCATAAGAGAGGCTGTCTCGAAGGCGTTGTCCGTTACCTTTTAGGGGAAAGCACACTAGAAGAGAGCATAGCTCACATACTGGGCGAGACAGCCGAGACAATCAAATCCCCTATAAATGGCGATCTAGGAGACGACGAATCTAGCGATGAAGATGAAGTGGGAATGTCCCAGAGTCAAGAACTGGGCATGAGTTCTGAGCTACTTCGTCCGGTTAATAATGCGAATGTCATGGTTCCCGTGGCCAAGGCATGCGGTGCGCTCTGGGCCAATGATGGCCGACTAGTGTGTTTCTTTCCTAATAAGAAGGACAAGTCATCAAACTTGATTGAGAATTTGGGACTCAAAGAGATGTCGAGACTATCAAGAGCGGATAAAGTTTTTGAAGGATTTGGTCGTATCCAAACAAGCTCTCCCGGACCGAAAATCAGTGGCACACTGGCGAGCACGGACGATGGTACCTCGGAATATTCTGATGATTCTGATGCCGAGACTTCAAGTTCGTCAGGTTCGTCTGACATGTTGTCAGGCTTGCAAGCACGATTTCCAACATCTCAAACATGGCGCAGCGCTGGAAGTTTGGGTATCTATCGGCCCAGGTCCACCGACCACTCGCAGCGATCAACTGCTGGGGCGATGACTGCGAAGTCGTCCGATTCTACGCAGAATATGATATCTATACATGATTTCAGCGATCTGTTACCAGCAAAGCGTGAATTGGCCCGAAGATATCGCATCTGTGGCAAGGTCACTGATGTATGTGCTCACAATGCTTCGGCAGCCCTAGATCTGGGCTATCACGAACTATCTCGGATCTGGCGACTGGTCAAGTTGATTTTACAAAACCAAAATGATTCATTGCCTCCGAGGCGCTCAGA